CAAGCAGCATGGCAAAAAATACTCCAAAACATCTCCCCCTGCTCAATGAACTTTATCCTATCTCCTTGGTAACAAGCTGTGGCCAGCAGGGGCATGCTAATCATTTGATCCCATGCCAAGGCATCTCAGAAATCATCACTGATAGCACGGAGCATTTCTGCCATTTTTCATCCGATACCTGATACGACTCTATTGGCGCCAAAACGGTCACATCGCTGACAGTACCAAGAAGCAACTCTATCCCCTGCCTGCCCCGTGTCACTCACGCACCGACTGTGGGTGGAGCCGATAAACCTGGGACCCAGAATCAATCTGAAGACCAGTCTTGTCTTAGGATTTATCACCTAGCTGTCGGAGAAATGCAACCGGATGCTGCTTCTCTCTAATACGTTTTTGAAAATGCAAACCAGTCACAGAACGCAACAGCCTGTTGAAATATTTATATTTACATGATCTGTGGAGAAGCAGCAGGGTTGAGTTTCATTAAGTTCTGATTGTGATTTCATATTCTCAGAAACGAGGACGGCCGTGTCTAGAGATTCGTGTTAGATATCTTGTCTTGGAGAAAGCGTACACTTCCAAGGTGTGTCACTGGCAGCACTGCATGTCTCCATCTTTATTTAGGGAAACTTTGCTCCATCACAAAGTTTGCTGCTTCTGAGAACAACCCCCACCACCACCTCCTCTCTTGGGGTTTGCATTTCCAGTAATGTCTTCCAGATGACCACTTGTCCTACATGGAGTTTTGTGTGTTCAGTGGTTAGAAGGTCTTTAGTAATCCTGTTCCTTCACACGCAACCTGCCATCCTGGGTCCTGCTCAGCTTGGAGAATGTGGATTTGGATAAAATGGATCATTATTCCGCCCGTTTTAGTGAAGCAGGCAGTCGGTTCTGTGATAATGATTGCTGTGCTTGCATATGTGAGAGCTGTGTTTCTTGTGTTATGCCAGATTTTTCTTTTTTATGTAAGAACTCATTTTTAATGTAGACAGAAAGAAAAATACGGTTCTAAGAAAGGTTTCATTCATGGATCTGCGAGTCTAGGCGTTGAACAGTTGAGCCTTTCAGAAAAATATGCCTTTACAAATCCAAATAAGATCTTCGCCAACTCCTTCATCCCTTCATGTCCACACCTGGGCTACAAAGTTCTAAAGGCAAAAATAACGGCAACCATCATGTCACCGGATGTTTGCTTAGTTCCCCAGGTCCATCAAACTCTGACTATGGTGCTCGCCGGCCCCTCCTTCACTTAAATCACTCTTTTCTAAATATTCACCGTTACTCGAGAGCAGTTCTTTGGTTGTGTACCTGTTCCCTTTGAGGTTTTCAGTGGTTTGTTACTCAAACACCTAATCAGTCTTTTCTGCCCTCGTAGGTCAAACGCGGGTGAAACGATTCAATTTTGATAAAAGATTTAACAGTTAAAAGACAACAAGAATCTCAACCACCACAGTCACAGCTGTTCGTCATACCAACTCAAACAAATCTAAGTGAGGAAATAATAATTCAACTGCTCTTATAACAAAATCTCCTGAGAGCTTCTGTTTTATCAGCCTGAAGGATGAAACGATAGTGTGTCTTAGTCGACCGTTCTCTGCTATTTGATCTGTTTTCGTTCAGGAACACACACACTTTTGTTTTCATTGGTGTGAAAGATGTTTATCGGTATGCAAAGTTGTTGCAGCACATTTTGTGCTAATAGTAGTGGCTTAAAATAGAGCTTGATATAAAGGCAGAAGTGTTGTTGGTTTCATTCTGTTTTACATTTGTCCCAAAGCAAAAATAAATAAATAAATAAATAAATAAATAAACCATCAGTGGTACAAACTACTGCCCTAAGTTGCTCCTGCTTATATTTTCAGGGATTTAAGAAAATATTGATACACGGAGTTATCACGATATATCATGTTATTGCACTAATTTGATATGTAAAAACAGTGCATTGATTTTTAATGAGAAACCACACGCAAACATTTACTCTATTTTTGTGGTGCAATTCAAACTCCAACTGCTAGGTGGCAGCGGTTTTTATCGTCTTCATTCTCGTAGAACAAGGTCGTGTGAAACATTAAAATTACAAATAACATTTAGGCTTTAGTATCACGATATATCACGTCGTCTACTCCGTGTCGTGACAAATATCGTAACACCAGATTCTTACCAATACTCACCCCGGATTATTTAAATTTAAATTTCAGCAAAAAAAGAAATGTTTATCTCCTGATTTTTCTTGCATCATGTGGGCTGCTGCTGTATTTTTGAGATAGCTAAACCTGTTTTCACTGCTTTATCTGGTTTGGCTGTTTTTTGTATATTTGTGCATTTGGGGCGTTTTGCAGCTTTTTTATTTATTTTTAGCTGTTTTTACAGGACCAGAGCGTTTTCAAAACGGGATTTGCCGTGGCGCCCTGGGGAGGATAAAAGTCGTTTATAAGATCAGACCGTGGCGGTAATGTGGCGCAATCGTAGCAATTTTATAAAAGATTAGATGATGGTGGCATAAAGGGGGTATGGGGGCGGTCTCTGCGCTGCCGCAGACTTCTGTTTATCTTGGTCATAACTTGCTTTTTATTGTGATCGAAGCCGTGATCGTTAAGTTTTTTTTTTTTTAACAAGCAGCTCCTATAGGCGTCTGTCCCCATCAGTCCCTGTGCAGTCTCTGGTGATCTGAGCTTCAGCTCTAACAGAGAGGCTCGTGGAGCGCTGCGGCGCTCCAGTTTGCCATCTCAGCTGATTTCGTTCAAAAAGCAAACCTTATTGCCAGCAATAACTCCCCACGTCATCATGACATCTGCCGCTGTTGCACCAGGCCGCATACGACAGGTCATCACCGCAATATTACTACCAAGCGGGGCGGAAGGAATGCCGCAGTATTCGCCCAACGCCATGCCTGCATGCCGCGTTTAGACGTACCATTGCTGTAATATTACGCCGGTTTGCCGGCATGGTGTGTCTTATAAAAGAGTCTTTTTCTAATCGACCTGCATCATGTCAGGGTTGGAGTTTTGTGTCAGATGTGTTTTCACAAACTTGCACATCAAACTATTTACAACAATTATGAAGCGAATAGTGATCTCTGTGGTGAACTGATGTTTTCTCCTCCAGGCTTCTGCTTATCCGAGCTGACGGAGCAGTTTTCCCTCCCAGAGACTGCTCCACCTCTGCTGTCCAAACTACTGGAAGCTATTGAGAAGAAAGGTGAGTTTACCTGCGAAGATCTGAAGTTTTTTTTAATCCTTATTCTTGTTCATCAGTCATGCTTTTGTGAGTGGTTGACTGATTTGATCTGCTGTAGGCCTGGATAACCCCACACTGTATCGAACTTTTACTGCTGGAGGAGGCCTCGAGGTCAGACAGTATTATGACTGTGGTAAGACAACCTCCCCCCTCGTCCTAATCAGCTTGTGTGAACTCTGTAGCTTTCCAGTGAGTAAGAGAGGTACATGAAGGAGGAAATGTCACAGAGAAAAAACAAGCATTGTGTTTGCAACTGCATGATGTTAGAAAGGCCACATAGAGACGCGCTATTCTCATACATTAGCCGTCAGCATGTAACCTGTACTCTGGTGCCCTTCAGATCCTCCAGCAGCAGAGCTGGATCAGCTGGAACTTCCAGTCCTGTGTGATGGTCTGCGTAGGTACCTGCAGGATCTCCCACAGCCCACCATTCCCTCTGCAGTCCACACGCAGATGGTCCACACCGCCAAAGGTGGGAGCTTCAAAACGCATTCAGTGATAATTTATTGACTGTTCGGCTTCCTTAAAACCAAAATGCTGATGTAATGTACCCTAAGCTCTGCAGTACACAACGTTCTACGAGCAGAAAGCCACAAGAGCTCGTCAAGCCCAATCCGAATGTTATTTTTTTATTGAGTCTTTTTTAAGCCTCTGAGTAAACCCGAAAGCACAAAACGTCTTTAGTCATAAGCTCATGTCGTCACTTCAGTTTGAGTTTGTATTTCTTTGTTTGCTGCTTTTTTCAAGCAGTGAGAAAACAACTTCACACCTCTCTCTGTTCTGTAGCTTTGCATTTTCTTGCCGTCACATGGCCAGAAACAGGATATCTGTGGCTAATAGGAACTAAAACAAGCCTGAAAGTTTATCTCTAGCATCTCTGAGCAGCCAATCACCTGCTAGTGTACCTTACGCTCATTGTTAACCACACAGTCTCTGTGCGGTTTCCAGAACAAACTGCACACGACGCCTTTTTCCATCTCCCTGTCATCTGAACATCAAACTTTCATTTTTTTGCTCCTTTTCTGTTGAATGCACCATCAGAATTTAACACCTTGAGCGTCTGGCCTCTTAGCCGTTCTCGTCTTTTCCAACAGAGGTTGCGAACCCCGAGGAATGCGCCCAGCTGCTACGTCGCATTGCCAGCTCCCCGACCCTGCCACCCCAGCACTGGCTGACTCTCCAGTGTCTGCTCAGGCATTTTTCTAGAGTGTGTCAGAGCGGGTCCAAGAACCAGCTCAGCGCCAGATCACTGGGCGAGATCTTCAGCCCTGTGCTTTTCAGACAGCAGCCCACCAGGTGAGTGTCGGAGCAGCAAAACCCATGCATCGCCTCTGCACGCTGGCAAAGATAGGCACTCAGGCTGCTGACAGATGAGTGCTCAGTCATGCAACACACACATGCACAGAGGCGCTCAGTCATGCACTTTCAGGCAAGCACTTAATGCAGCCTGTTCGGCACTCATGGGGTTTTAGTTTTACACAAATGTAGGTTGAAGCTTTTCTTCTTACCAGCTGTGCAGCGCAGTTAAAGCAGCTAAGCCTGAATCGCTATCAGATTGAAGAGCAAGAGAGTCACCTGCGCTGTATAATATTCTACTTACCCACCACCCACACCTTTTATTTATTTATTTTCCTCTCATGTATAGTTGTGAACCCAGCCTGGATGCTTTTATCAAGATCATCGAGGTTCTGGTGACCAGCGAGTGGGGTGAAAGTCAAGCTGCTCCAGGTAGTTACCCTCTTCTTTTCATTGCGTTGGTGCCTTTAGAGGAAAACGGTGGTAGATTTTTGCGTTATTTATTACTGAGTGGAAGACGTGAATGTGGAGTTCTGCAGGGACTGAGCTGTGCACAGCCGAGAGCAAACATTTAGCTATTAATGTCACGGAGAGAGACGTTGAGACTTGCAACTGCTGCAGTTGAGTCTCAGCGCCGCAGGTTTGTCCTCGGGGTGAGTTACTAACATTTTACTAGTCAAGTAAATTGTTTTTCTGTGCAACAGATGATAAAAAAAAAAGTTAAGTTTTCAACAAAAAAGCTACAAAGATGTTCACTGTAGTTTTTAACCCAGTAAGGTTCCATATTAAAATGTTTTCCACAGAGCTTCAGGCCCTAAAACTGCTGATTCTTGTCTGAGTTGAACTGACGAAAACATTCAGTAACTTCAGACGTGATTACTGGGGAGTTTGAGGCCGTCTGCACCAGCGTGAGACCCGTTTACTGGATGCTCTGTGTTCAGATCTGTTGGTTTTTCAGAATAGATTTAGTTTTTTGAGTTTGTGACGGTGGACTGCCTGGACCAAGCGGCTGTGGTGCGAGGCTCAGTCCTATTTTACAGTGCTAGTTAAAAGCCCTGTTGTTGGCCGGCCCACGGGCCAAAGCCGTCTGCGTCTGTTAACACATTTTATTACCTGTTAGAGCTATTTATATCGCGGCCGCGCTAGGGCTGCTCTCGGCTCTCGGTAATTTGGACCTGTGGGTGCGCCATGGAACGAGGGACGGACAGACGAATGAGACACCAACCATACAGCGCTACTGGTTTTGTTTCTGGAACATGTGGGAGCGCATTACCCGCTCAGGTGTGCCGGGTTTCAGTCATCAGAATCCTTCAAACAGGTACCGAAGATGGTGGAGAGGGAGAGCCTACTTTGTAAACACACACGCTGATTTTGTGTGTTTTGTGAATGACCTGCAGGTGTGTGTGGACACGCGGGTGTCTGCGTGTCTCCTCCTAGTTACTGTGAGCCTATTTTAAGTAAGCGACAAAAGTTCCACTTAGATTTGGTTGGCTGGAAAGTCGGCCCGCACCACAGAGCTCTTCTTGTTAACTGAGGGCTGCTTCCAGCCTCCGGAGCCACCCCCCCCACTTTGGTCCTCCCTCTGCCTGGATATCCACACGTCCTGACCCTCAAAGGGCTCAGTCAGCAAATATTTGAAACTTTGCGAGTTAATCATAAGACCAAACCCCCTCCTTCCCCTCCCCTCCCCTCCCCTCCCTTTACAAACAGAGGAGGGGGAGTGACCAAAGAAACTGAGACTTGAACACAAACGCAGCTGGCATTCAGACCAGACTGCAGTGACACTGGAGCTGCTTCACTGCTAATAATTAACTCTCTGCGTCCACGTGAGCGGGCCTCAGCCTCACACCCGATGGGGGAGGAGGGAGCCTCAGCCCTCTGAAGTGAATGCTCTGCAGACTGAGCGAGTCCGTCAGTCACTCTCTGAGAGGCACGCCTGCCGCACCAGCCTCACGCCGAGCGGATTACCTGGATTTTATTAGGAAGCACATAAATCTCGTTACCGTTTGAGAATTAAAGCAAGAGACGTCGTGATTCTGGACAGCATCAACTATGAAATGGAGCTCAACCGGAGAACTTGAACGCACTCCTGTTGGATTTAATCGGAGCTTTAGGAATAAAGGAGAAAGTTCAGAAAAGAGCCTTTTCCTCCCGAGAAATATGCTTAACTTGCAACGTAAGTTTGGTGCTTTCATCAGCTCTTTCCCTCGGGCTATAACTGGGACTTCACGGGTAGACGAGGCAGAAAAACTTCAGCTTCAGACCAAATCAGAACAAGAAAAGTTGGTTTTTGTTGCTTCTTGGAGCCTGCAGTGTTAGCTGGGACTGACTGGCCCCGGGCCACTGCACACGCTGCCTGTGTGGTTATGAGTGGTGCTGCTCAGAGACCCAAAAATGTTCCCATTATTTATGGATGTTCTCATCCAAGTGAGTATAAATAAAACGGGTAGCTTGGCATTTCAGGTTTCATGTAGAGAACAGTCTGGAGCAGGTGTGCTCCTTCAGGTTTCTTACATTTAAAACCAAATTAGCAGATTCTTTTCCCCGCACGTTTCTGTTGAATGAGTCCTGGTAGTTCAGCCTGGAAGCTCGAAGACAGGACTTCTCTTGGAATTCCTAATTCTGTACCAGGAGCCAGTTCTATTTTAACACCACTAAGGAAATCAAGCAGCCTATCTCTGTCACGCCGAGTGTCATGCTGTGGGATTACAGACGTATTTCAGAGCTCTGAGCACCGCTGACCGGGCCAGGCAGTATAATTCAGCTGCGTACGTGCTGCTGCAGCAGAGCTGGCTTTGTCTACGTGCCAGCAGTGGGACGGCCTAAGCGCCCGCACGACACACGCAGGGAGGAGGGGCCGAGCAGCCTGCAGGAGAGCCAGCGCACAGGCTCGACCGAGGCAGACAGGAAGAGAGAGAGAGAGGCATGACACAAGCTGCAGGGACGGTCTTCCTCCTCCTGCAGGCTCGCTGCTAAACGTGGACGCTACTGCCGGATGCTGCAGACGTAATCGGGAATCGGTCTGATTGAGCTGCAGTGTATTTATTTTTCGGGTAATTAAATCAGATCGGTCGAATGAAATGCGCTTTAAGAATGACCTCATCAGTCTCAGGAAATGAAAGATGCAGAAGCGGTTGGTGACGAACCCCCCGTGTGATTGGCTGTGGTAAGTGATGTAACAAGTTACCGAGCAGGCTGCCCCTTAATGGCTCTTCGTATTGCTGCTTAGGTGGTCGGGTAATAAGGCGCTAATTTCCCCATTTATGGACGACGGGGGATCTTGGCTGAGGTGTCGGTAGATTTATGAGGCTGGACTGCGCTGGAGACGCGGATTTGGGATTGAGGAGATTCTAGTAATCCGTCAAAAAGCGTCGATGCTGCTGTGACTGAGCAGATCACAACTCTGTTTTCTGGGATTTTAGTGTGTGTGCATGTGCGTGTGTGTGTGTGTGAGCAAAGTTCTGCACGCTCTAGTGCTGCAGGAGAGGTGTTAATGCAGTGGCAGTGCAGATTTGTGGGTTAAAAATAGCCGACCACCTTAGCTCTGCTTCTGCTAGCCTCACTATAAAACCGTTGGCTCGACCTTTATCGATTTATTGATTCCAAATCCATAAACCAGAATCATGTTATCCCACTCTTAAGCTAAGCTCGGAGGGGATTGTTCACCCGAAGCTGCAGGATTTAACCTGACCTTTCCTTTCCTGCACGTATGCTCTGTTAAATGTCCCGGTGGTGTTCGTGCGTTGTCGTTGTGAAAGCAGCTCTGCTGCATTTGCAGCCTGGAATATTCGCAGGAGGCTCTTTTCTTGAATGAAATTCATTCTCCCTAACTCACGTGTCCTCTCCCCTCCCACTTCCTTGCTGTTGCAGCCTCTCTGCTGGAGAGGGGCACCATTTCATTACCCTGTTAGTTTTAATGATGCAACCATGAGGGAGAGCCGTTGTTTTAAAAGGCTGATTTGTTTTCTTGTATTTTTTTTCCTTTAAATCCGAATCTGTTCAATGGGAAGCCTTTAGGATGTAAACAGGAACGTGGCAGATATTTACATTCTGCTCCTGTCCTCCCACCAGCTCTACCTCCAAAACCACCCAAACCCACGCCGGTGACTAACAACGGTATGAACAACAACATGGCGCTGCAGGACGCCGAATGGTACTGGGGAGACATCTCCCGGGAGGAGGTCAACGAGAAGTTGAGGGACACCGCGGATGGTACGTTTTTGGTGCGAGACGCCTCTACAAAAATGCACGGAGACTACACTCTTACTCTGAGGTGAGCCGCTTCCCGTTTCCAGTGTGTTCCTTTCCTCTTGTCCTGCGTTATTCTGACTTGGTTGTTTGCAAACAGGAAAGGAGGAAACAACAAGCTCATTAAGATATTCCATCGAGATGGGAAGTACGGCTTCTCAGACCCGCTGACCTTCAGCTCGGTTGTTGAGCTCATCAACCACTATCGCAATGAGTCACTGGCTCAATACAACCCCAAGCTAGACGTGAAGCTGCTGTACCCGGTCTCCAAACACCAGCAGGTAGTTGCGCAGCTCTGATGCAAGCAGCATTTTTAAAACCATCACAGGTTCACATCTATTTAACTCCAATGAATCCGTCACCAGGATCAGGTGGTGAAAGAGGACAACATCGAAGCTGTAGGGAGGAAGCTCTGCGAATACCACCAGCAGTACCAGGAGAAAAACAAAGAGTACGACCGGCTCTATGAAGAATACACCAGAACGTCACAGGTGAGTTCCACCTGCCGCCAAAACGCCGTCGGGTCCTTTAGATCGCAGCTTTTTCGAGTCTTTACCCTAAAACCACCTCTGCTTGCAGGAAATCCAAATGAAGCGTACAGCGATAGAAGCTTTCAACGAAACCATCAAGATATTCGAGGAGCAGTGTCAGACCCAGGAGCGGTACAGCAAAGAGTACATCGAGAAGTTCAGGCGAGAAGGAAACGACAAGGAGATCCAGAGGTGAGAGGCCGAGAGGAAGCTGCTATAAACGACAAAAACCCCGAACCCTTTCTAAGCAAAAGGATCTTCTGTTTGCAGAATTATGGGAAACTACGAGAAGTTAAAATCAAGGATCAGTGAAATTGTTGACAGCAAGCGCAGGCTGGAAGAAGACTTGAAAAAACAGGCGGCAGACTACAGAGAGATCGACAAGAGGATGAACAGCATCAAGCCCGACCTCATCCAGCTTCGCAAGACCAGAGACCAGTATCTCATGTAAGCACGGCACCCGAGAGTTCAGCTGTGAAACGGCTCTGTCCTGGTTTCTCACGTCCACGTGTTTGGGGATTTTCTTTGTAGGTGGTTGACCCAGAAAGGAGTCAGACAGAAAAAACTCAACGAGTGGCTGGGAATCAAGAACGAAAACACAGAGGAGTGAGTATGAAGTTAGAAATGTTAGCTGGTAGCTTCACAGCTAATGTTCAGGTGCTAATTTGTTTCTTTTTCCTTTTAAAGTCAATACTCTATGGTGGACGACGACGAAGACCTTCCTCACCACGACGAGCGAACCTGGAGACTGGACAATAACAACGGAGGCAACTTCAACCGGGTTCAGGCGGAGACGGTCCTCATGGGAAAGAGAGACGGAACATTCCTGGTTCGGGAAAGCAGCAAAGCGGGGTGCTACGCCTGCAGCGTTGTGTACGTATCAGCGTGTCTCCCAGGGGTAGCTGGATTTGACTTGTATTTCCTGGTTGTGACGTTTGTCCTCTCTCTTTGCAGCGTGGAGGGCGAAGTGAAGCACTGCGTCATTAACAAGACCCCCTCTGGCTACGGCTTTGCAGAGCCGTACAACCTGTACAGCTCCCTGAAAGAACTCGTACTTCACTACCAGCACACATCTTTGGTCCAGCACAATGACTCACTGAATGTGACGCTAGCATACCCCGTTTACGCTCAGCAGAGACGGTGAGGACACTGACACATCCACGACGACACAAAGATCCAAGGCCTCACAGGAACCAGAGACACGTTTTGGACTCCACGGTTGAATAAAACAGACGCGATCCGATGGCGAGGTGGGACTTTAAAGCCGGAGGAAAAGACAACAAAGCCTGAAACATTTCAGTGACTTTGCCTGACCACAGATCTGAGGCGAGTCTGAATGTAGATTTCCTTTTTTTTTTCTTTTTTTTTTTTTTTGTGGGAGCACAGAATCTGGTGGAAAACTGCTGAACTCCCCGAGCGGAGGACGATTGAGGCCTTTTCCTTATGGTGCTTGTTCTTGTTCAAAGCTTTACCAGCTAGAATGTTAAACTGCAGCGGATAAAACTGTTCAAACGGAACTGTGCTAACCGGCCACGACCTGTTGTTTTTCCTGTACGTCATCGGTGTGGTTTTTTTCTTTCTTTTTTTCGTGTGTGTTTGTGTGTGTGGGAGCGAGCGAGAGCGAGGGTGAGAGTGAGACAGACTGTCCATGTGACCAAAACCCATAGAATCTAAAAACTGTGACACCGGAGGGCTGTGTGACACGTTTGCTTGCGTCACTTGTTCAGCAGCTGACCGTGAATCAGTTGAAAATGTAGCAAAATGGCACTTTTTCTTTTTACACGTAATTTCTTTTTGTTTCTTTTGAAAGAAGAACTCCTATGGACTTTGAGAAGAGTGGAGAAGATTAAAGGTCCTGCCTTCTTCTCGTTTAGCATTACGGTGCACAGGCGAACTGGATCTTAGCTGTGGGCGGGTGGACGCTCTGAACGGACTATTTCATGTACATATGTGAAATTGTACAGTCATGAATGGAAGTGCACCAAAAAGGATCAGTTCCTCTTTAGTTCTGTTCTGATCTGCTATGCAATTCTTTCTCCATTTGTACTTACGGACTCTGTTGCAACCCATAATATAAGCTTGTTTTATTGCTTGAACAGTATCTTTTCCTGTGTAAATATTCTAGAGGATATTTTGTGTCAAAATGCCAAGATACAATAAAATATGCGTATGATTTTTAAAGATAAAATAGAAACATACACTTTATTATAAATTACTTTCATAGTTGGTAAAAAGATGAGAAAGATGAGTATTTTAGTAGGGTTTTTTTTTTTGGCTTCAAACTAATCCTCTCAGGCAGAGCCTTTTGAGTATTTGAGCTGCTCCAGTTAAGAGTACTAGTTCCCGACAGAGCAAAGCCTACATGCAGATCTTTGTCCGAGCACTCACAGCTGATGGGATTTGACGATCCATATCACCACCAAAACAGCAGGAAAGATTTATTTTCTTATACAAAGTATATATGTTCCCATATGAGAATATAAGATCAATATGCATTTTACACTTCATATTTTTCTGTATCAGAAAATGTTTACATGGGTGGATCAGCTCATTTCAGAAAGTAATTTCACGTTAGAAGGACGGCGTGCGTAGGTGGAGTCCTTTGTAGAAAAACTGACGTAAAACCCACAGCTCAGCTACAGTTTCTTTACTTTAACACCGAGGTACAAACCCAGTTTATGAGGAAGCTTTAATGTGTGTCAAATGTGAAAAGCTACAAATCAGATCGTTTGTAATACGAAATGTCACGAGGATGTAATTAGACTCTTCATCATGTCTGCACAGCTGTCAGTTGAAATCTCAGTATGTTGTGAAGCCAATAACAAAATACAATTGTTTTGATTTTTAGAGTTTGTGTTGGACTTTAATTTCATTTCTTCTGACTTCTACTTTTAAAGAAGGTCTAAACGTACGAACTGGCAACTGCATAAGGTGATTTTCATTTTGCGCATTTACAGTTCTGTTAAAAATACGGTACTGACGCTGACGTGTTTTAAATGTTCTTGACCAAATTCCTCATCCAAGATAAGATTAGCAGATCTTCAGAGCTGTCATTTATTCTGAGTTGGTTGTGTCAAAATAAGCCAATAACTGTGATATGTGACATTTACTTTACTACAAGTATGATTTGCATTTACATCACAATATCTGCTGCAACAAAAAGTTCTTATTGGTTTTTGTTTTAAAGATCACAGACAAAAACGATGCACTTTTACACCTCAGTTCTTGGTTAATGGACTATCTTAGTAGTGTCCTTTTTTTATTTTTCGTGTAACACGACGATTGGATTGAGATTTGCCAGTGTTCCTCAGTTTGGCTTCAAATCTGTATTGGGCTTTGTTAAAAAATAAATAAAACACTTTTTAAGATAAAATTATGTCTCGATCTTTATTTTATTATTATTATTTTTTAATAAACTGAATAATGCAAAGGACAGTTGGTTGGTTGGTCTTAATTCATGTGCAGACCAGACTAGCCTAATTCCTCAGAAGATTATTAATTTAGCTCAGTAATAGCCTGACTGAACATACTTGGCTTTGGCCAAAGTTTTTCAGAATAAGTGTCAACTCCCACAAAGTTTGTTGCTTGCATTTTTAGATTAGTCAGATATTTCTTTAGTGTACTGAAGTATAACTACAATAATGGCATATGTTCAAAAGGCTCTTTTGGAAAATTTCATCAAGTCAAAAAAAAAAATAAAGACTGGATTACTGTAATTCATTACTCTCAGGAAGTCCACAGAATGTAGTTAAAAGTCTTGAGCTTGTCCAAAATGCTGCAGCTAGAGTTCTGATGAGAATTAAAAAGAGAGATCATATCTCTCCTGTCTTAGCTTCCCTACATTGCCTACCTGTTAAATTCAGAATAGATTTTAAGGAACTCTATCTCACTAATAAAGCTCTTAACAATCAAGCTCCATCATACATCAGTGACCTGATTGTTCCATACGTTCCTGATCAAGCACTTGGCTCTCAGACTGCAGGTTTACTGATGGTTCCCAGAATATCTAAAAATTAGGATGGGAGGTAGATCTTTTAGCTATCAGGCTCCTCTCTTGTGGAACCAGCTCCCAGCTTTAGTCTGTGAGGCAGACACCTTGTCTACATTTAAGAATAGGCTTAGAACATTTTTATTTGATAGGGCTTATGGTTAAAATCTGATGTTAGCCTAGATCTGGACAAGTGGGGGAGTAGAGGGAGGTGGAGTGTACAGTCAGTAAAGACGGCTTTCCACTTGCCCTGCCACCAACATGCCTCCATCTAAAAGGCTAG